TTAAAAACCACTTTTTTTCTTTTTTTGTTTTGTCGCTGGAAATTAAAAATAAAGTCCAAAAAAAAAAAAAAAAAAAAAAAAAAAAAAAAAAAAAAAAACACCAGTATATATGTATATATGAGGCTATAGGTAAAAAAACAAATAAAACATTTTAAAAAGAGCAGGAATCACATTTCTCAACGGAATATGTAGCAATTCCATTTGGTGATCCAACACAGTATTTATTCACCGCTCAAAAACCACTCCAATAAAGAGGCAGCAGCCTTGGGTAATGACTTGCCCCAACGTAATGGTAAATTCATCACCAAACATGAAATAACAAAGGGCCCTTTAACCACAAGAACCACACCCTCACCACAATGTAAAATCTCCGAAAAACCATCAGAGAAGCAAAATTCTATAAACAAGCCATCCTGACGAAAAGAGGTTAAAAAACACGGGCGGGGACGATCAGGGCACTTTGTCATTCGATGAAAGCAAATGCAATCCCTTTCACTCATTTTTAATGCTTCATTTGACCATGGAAATCGCATTAATAGTTCAACTTTACGCAGAGTTGTGGCCTTTTCAAGACTAATACCAACTTCTATGTAAAAACTTGGAAGCTCATCCTCACAAGCAATGAGAAGGTTAGAACCATCAGAGAAATGACAACCAAAATACTCAAATTGTATCTGATAACAAAAAACAACTATAATATCCTTCTGTGAATCCTTCCAAAGAATATTCGGAGCCATCATCCTGCCTATTAGAGCCGAAAACTGATTCAGAGCCAAATTCTCACCACAGCCCATACATAAATCTCGTCCAGTTTGTGCACAATGGAAAAAAGGCGTCTTCGAAAAGTCCTTGGAACACATATCACATGTATATCCCAGTTTGTATTCGGGCTCAAAATCCAGCGGAAGAATCTCATAATATCGAAAAAGACACTGCTCCTCTCCCTTCATACCGCTGGTTAAGAAAATCAATAAGAAAAGGAGATAAAACCGTTTAAAAAGACAAAAATAATAGCAAACGAATACAAAACAGTAAAAAATAACCCAAAACGCAAAAAAGTCACTAATAAAACCGCCCCTGTAAACACATTTCAAAAATTGGCATACAGGAGAAAAAACAGCTCTTATCCTGGAAAGGACACCTGGTTATGTCCTAAAAAAAATAAACTAAATCCGTTAAAACCCCCAAAACCATAAAGAATATCCACCTGATTCGCTGATCAGATCCTAAACTCAATAAAATGGGACGAAAAAGAAGAAATCAATGGAGAGGCAGCGGCTTCACCACACCCTCGATGTTTATTCCATATAAATATTATATTTGGACAGCCACTAATCGTGACACGCTGCACTCTATTCGGACAGGAGATATTTGGTACTTGCGACGTGGCAGCATTTAAAGTCCTCCATCCACAAGACCCCGCCGCGAAGTGGGAATAAAAACGGAGCGGGTGGAACGGCCAAAAAAATTAAATAAGGAAGACATTCTTCCTACCGCTGTCAGCTCCTTCGCTTCTTCCGTCGCAATCATCGAAAGATTCATGTAAAATAAGAAATAAATCGTCCAGTAATATCTTCTTATCAGGATGTATTAAGTTAGGCGGCCAGCCCTCTCGTTAGCAATATTCTCACATGCTCACAGAAAAATGGCCGTCGTTTTCAAAGGTAAACAAAAATAAAAAAAGTAAAATAAAAATTTACAGGACTCGATCCTCCATCGAAGCTACCATTCCAGTGATCTTTATGTCTATCTGACAAATACACGCACAGAGAGAAAGAGAGAGAGAACCGTTAAAAAACCATTCAGTATTTTGTTTTTGAACAATAAATAAAAAAAAAAAACCCAAGAATTGAGACTATGTGTGAGTGC